TCAGGTAGCAGTGTCTGAGAGGGTGATAAATGTGCCAGAAAGACATAATTTATTCATTTTTAAGAACGAGGAAATAGGGGCACAGCAAGTCCAGTAAGTTGCTCATGGTTGCACAGCTAAGTAAAGGGGTCGGCAGGAAGTTGACTCCAGAAGGTCTCCACCAGGGGAAACACAGGTGTTCCCAGGCAAAAAGGGGACTGGGCAGCTGCGAGGGGAAAGGGGTCCAAGTCTCACATCTCGCCCACTAGGAACCCTCCTCTGGGCTTCTTGTCCCCTCTCTTCTCCATGGGCAAAGACCTGAGGATTCCCAGAAGTCAGTGATTCTTTTTTCCAGACTCCACCTTAAACAATCAAATCCAGGTCTCCACAGCGCTTTAAACCACACACAGAAATGTGATCCTGTCAGAGCCAGGTGGGGTTTGACTCCTACATCTGCGCAATCAGTAGCCTGGGTTTCAAACTGAAAGTGTCAACTCTCGTGGCAGAGAAAAGATCCGTTTCGTAGTACTTTGACGTTGTTATTATTACTACATTTAAACAAAAAAAATCCCCAAAAACCCTTGCCATCAAGTCGATTCCAACTCATAGTGACCTTACGGGAGAGAGTAGGACTGCTGCATAGGCTTTCCAAGAAGCAGCTGCTGGATTCGAACTGCCAACCTTTTGGTTACTGGCTGTAACTCTTAACCTTTGCACCACCAGGGCTCCCAAAACAGAGACTTAAAAAGTCTCAGTATCTCTTTCTTCATGCCCTCTTCAGACATCGCATGAATGAAACACCTGCTTAGACACACAAGGATTTAAGAATGGTTAAGAGGATCATTAGCATCATTTAATAGAGCCACTCAGAACTGCAGATCTGTGGCTGAGAAATCCCAACCCCTTCTAAGGTCTGTGTGTGCCTGTCACAGAGATTTTGTTTTTAGCTGCCCATTAGGCTCAGCCTCATGGCAAACCTATGTATAACAGAATGAAAAGTTGCTCGGTCATGTGCCGTCTTCACGATCATTGGCATATTTGATGCCCATCGGACAACATCCTGTTCTGATCCATAGGATTTTCACTGGCTAATTTTCAGAAATAGATTGCCAGACCTTTCTTCCTAGCCCATCTTAATCTGGAACCTCCACTGAAACTTGTCCAACTAGGTGACCCTGCTGGCATTTGAAATACTGGTGGCATACTTCAGCCACCACAATACAACAAAGTGACAGACGGGTGGTGGCTCACAGAGACTAAACCAAAAAAACCAAACCATTGCCGTTGAGTCAGTTCTGACTCATAGCGACCCCAAAGGACACAGTAGAACTGTCCCATAGGGTTTCTGAGGCTGTAAATCTTTGTGGAAGCAGACTGCCACATCTTTCTCACGTAGAGGGCTGGTGGGTTCAAACTGCCAGCCTTTGGTTTAGCAGTCCAGTGCCTTAGACACTATGCCACCAGGGTTTCTTCATACAGACTAAAAACCAAAAAATAAAAAACAAAAACAACCCCATTGCTGTCAAGTCGATTCCAACTCATAGTGACCCTACAGGCTGTAGTAGAACAGCCCCACAGGGTTTCCAAGGAACAGCTGGTGGATTCCAAATACCGTCCTTTTGGTTAGCAGCTGTAGCTCTTAACCACTGCACCACCAGGGCTTCTCACAGTGACTAGCCTCCATAAAATATCTGTCCATAAATAGAAGGACCTTAAAGTGCTAGGAATTATAAATAACACTGCTATTACAAGTAAACATTTCAACCATATGTTTAAAAGAGAAAATGTTCAATCTACATGCAAAAAGAAAAAATAAAGACTTTAAGGGGTTTGCTTCTTTTTTTCACCACTGGATGACCAAGCCTAACAAAGTACCATTAGGTGAACTGTCAGGATATTTACACACGGTTATTGACCA